CCGGGGTCTGGCCTTTGGTGGGAGCCGGCCACGGTACCTCCATCCCCTCAGCGGTCAGCGCTTTGTGCAAGGGTCTGCCCGGGTGTGTGGGTGGTGCTGGGCCTCAGGGACCCCTGCGAGCTGAGGCCGCCGGTCCCCATCCTTCCCCTGGCTCCAGACCAGGGGAGTGATGGCAAGAACTAGGAGGATCTGGCGTGAGGCTGGACCCCCTGGGCAGGCTGCTGGAAATGGCCGCTCCCTGTGGGCTCAGGTGAGGCCTTTCTCCCAGCTCTGCAGTGTGCTCCGGTCTGCAGCCTGTCCCGCTGGCCTTCGTAGGCTCCAGCACTACCTCTGCAACCCCTGGGGCTGCAGGGCCCTGCTTTGTCTCACGTCACTGGCTGTGTGCTGTCTGAGACCACCCAACTCATCTCACCTGCTGGCTTGGAAGGAGACGAGAAGGTGCTTATGTATAGGTGTGGTTGGCAATAAAAACCACCGGTTGTAGCTATACATAGAGTTGGAGCCCTGGAGTTGAGTGGGGTGAGACTATTTCACATATTATGTGTATATACGTATACATATACATCTATCTAAGATTTAGCTCGTGGCAGGAAACAGCTTTCAAGTACAGTATGTGTTACTGTAAATATGTTTTCACAAGATGCTTTGGGGTGCTGGGCAGACACCTGATCTCAAAGCACCAGCAGAAACTTGGAAAAAGGCTCGGACGGAGGAAGGCTGCAGCTCTGCTCTCGGCGTACGGACTGCGGTTTGGGATGAAGTGGTTGCACTTCTCCCAGCCCCAAGGGCTCGAGTGCCGCGGGAGCGCCTGGGCCGTTGCCCCGGCTGTTGCTGTGAGGTGGTTTTGTGTGTGGACGTGTGCTGGGCTCTGCCACTTGCAGCTGCTACCGCTGTCCAGGCTCTGTGAAGAAGAGGTTGTTGCTGGGGCTGGTCGGACAGAGTAAGTCAGCAGCTGGGCTGTGCTCGTCCCCGCTGGGTTTTTCTTTCTCATGCCCGTCTCTCATCGCGATGGGTTTGTGGGCTTCAGCTACCTGAGTTGAAGTCTACAGGAGCGGCACTGCTGTAGAGAGCCATTGACACAGCTTTCTCCCAGTATTTACTGGGGAGGAGGACAGCTTTGTGCCCAGCCTTTCTGAGAACTGGATGGAGGAATGGATCTAGCTTAAAAAATGAACAAAAACAGACAGTAGAACTTCTTGAAATATTTTTAAGCCATGTGAGGTTTCCCCCCAGCACATCACATCTGTGCTGGCACCGTGAAGGGAAATGGTGCAGGGGCAGGAGTGAGCGGCGATGGGGAATGGCAGCGTGATGAGCTGAGCTGGCTGTGTCTTGGGAAGCTGCTGAGGAGTTGCTTTGGGTCTGTGTGAAGTCTTATGTCCCCCGTGGCTCCGGCTGGACGCCTGGCACGTTTCTCAAGTGTTTGTTGACTTGGCTGAGGGAGGCTGAGCCGAGACGGGAAGAGCACGGGATGAGCGGGAGCTAGGTTCTGTGCTGTCACCTGGCTCTTGCGGGGTGGACGTGTTGGAGCCCAAGGGCGTCAAAGATGATCTCTGTCTGCTCGTGGTGGCACTGGAAACGTTAACAAGGGCTCCTTCCATCCTCGTGGCACTGAGGTGAGCCGGGTGTCCCGTTTTGTCCTGGGGGGCTGAGGCTAGGAGCCCTCTCCCTTCCCTGACTGGGGCTGTGGGCTCTCCATGAGCGAAGCCAGTAGCTGCCTGCGCTGGGGTATGGGTAGTGCTCTGCCCTTGCCGTCGGGCTGTTCTGGAGAAGGCAGCAATGCAGATGCTTCCCGGGGACAAGGCAGGGGAGTAATCCTTCCACGGAGTCGGGGGTGCACGGGGCTCGCTGCTCGGGGAGCGGCTGTCTGACACGGAGGAGGAGGAGGAG